GACAGGGTGGTAGTTCCCAGGGTCTTACTTTTTACCTTTTTTAAAAATAGAGGTGATGTTTCCTTCCTTCCAGTCACTAGGGACTTCACCTGACTGCCAGGACTTTTCAGTATTATGGACAGTGGCTTGGCAACTGCATCAGCCAATTCCTTCATCACTCTGGGGTGCTTCTTATCAGGCCCCATGGACTTGTGAATGTTAAGGTTAACATTTTCTTTCTGGGATCCTCTTCCCAAGCAACATTACTCATTATTAGTATGTTTAGTGCAGTAGAGCCTAGGAGCCCAAGTGGAATGGGCATTCACTGCAGTAGATGTCATACATGAAGTGGTGAATAAAGCCTGCTCAGAGGTCGTGATGGGGAGGGAGAATAACATTCCAGCTCCATGCATCAGAGGGACCTCTGGCTACCTCATGCTGATGATTCAGACCTTTGCCTTTTTCAAAACCTTGCTTGAAAAAGGGTAAGGAGAAAAAAAGGAAGAGAAAGGCAAAAGATACTTTAGAGAGAAAAGACAAATAGGGAAAATGGATCAGTTCTAAATGTTTTTGCCTGTAGTATTATACTTTAATAATGTTTTTCTTAGATCCAGCTTGTTCAATGACCTCAGGTAGTTCAAAAAAATTTATACTCATCCTTAGGTACTTTAAATATATGTGTGAAGTAGCCTCTTAATAATGTTTTTTCAAGGCAGAATAAGAACTTTGTCAATCACATCAGATATGCAAAACTTTTACAGCATTAATCTTCTCTTGCTCTACGCTATGCCACTGAACTTTCTGCACTAAAGGTTAGCTTCTTACCTCAACCAGAGCTGAAAAACAAAGGCTAGCCTTATGCTAGCCTTAAATGCTTTCTGGCAGGGTTCATAGAGAGTTAACATGTATGCATTATCATACTAGCCCATACAACTCCTAATCAAGAAGTTTGCTTAATTTGGGGGAAGAGTTTGCCTAATTTGTTTTATTTTGATTTCTATCCCCAAATGCTATAGAAAGATTTACAGTTTGTGCCTGGGAATATATAACTGGCCTCATTCCAGATAATGAGAACATTTTGATGACTTGTGATCAAATTTTAATGAAACAAATTGTTTTTACAGAGCAGTGCAAGTATCTAGCCTAAACTTTCTAATCAGCCTGACTATCCACTTACTCTTCGAGGTAGAGGTAACCATTCTCCTGTGCCAACCTTCTTGCATGCATCTGGGAATCCTTAGCTGTGGTGCCATAGGATATAACCATCGCGCCGTACTCACGGCACATCTTCACTCTGGCCGGGGATGTGCTGGTGGACACGATGACAAACACTGGGATACGGAGCTCGGAGGCATGGTAAGCAACAGCCAAGGAGAAGTTACTGTCCGAAGTCACGATCACCCCCTTTCTTTGCTGATCCTAAAAAACAGGGTTGCTTATTTCACATTATATCATGTCACAAAACTGTCCCATATGATCCTGGATCATTCTAATGGTCTGACTTCCTTCTTTTCCTCTCCTAGGTGATCCCATTATGATATTGCAATACAGTATATGCATGGCTGGTGTGACCTCAGGACTAACACAGAGAGTTAAGACAGCACAAGATCAATCCCTTTTCCTGCACTCCTTTGGGTTCCATTCTTGTTCCATTGGAATTAGCTGCAAAACTCCACCTGACCCCAGAAGAGCTGATCTCTGACCCCTCAGATCCAATATCTGGTCCCTCCTCCTTGCCTGTGTGAAATTATTTCATTTCAGGTTTCTCTTTAATAGAAGGATGTATTAGTATTATTACAAAAGTGCAGGAATAACCACTGTTTCTGGGTTGCTGTATCATGCCAATTATTATTATTGCAGAGACTCAATAACCTCCTATGACAAATGATAAACAGGCTATTTATGTAATGACACTGAAATCAATTGCTGATCTAGATATTACTCATCAGTCATTGTAGCTCAATTTCATCATCATTTCAGATTTGGTGGTTTCAGTGTGTCAGAACCATTGTGTGAATACTATTGACAAACACTGTCATCTAAGTGCCATAGAAAAATCCTGACGCTTACATTTTGCAAGCTTTTCTTTCAAATATTTTAAAGCATTTCACCAGGAGATCAACAATGCATATATAAAGTAGTAAAGTATGTTACATTCAGATACTTGCAGACCTATCTATGTTGTTCAGCATAATGGTTCAAAAGGTAAGAAACATTGCAATTCCGTAGACATTACAAGTAAAATTATCTTTCAGTCTGCTCCATTTTTATGAAGCAGATCTAATCTATTTATTTCCTTTGGAATATTGACATTTTGTTATACCTGAGGCAATGATGTCAGAAGGTAAAGTACACCTCGTTCCTTCACAGATCCTGTGTACTGGAGGAACTCTTTCTTTAGGTAGATGTCCATTCCATACTGCTTGGAGAGTCTAGAATACTGGAGTATAGAAATGTTATTTTGGGAATGTATCGAAAATTAAGAAAACTCTTCCAGACCCCTACAGCTCCCTGGTGAGTCATGCATTCAACTGCCAGCTATGAGCTCTAAAAAGCAAATTTCATAATCTGTTTCTTCAGAAGTACGTGACAGTGTATTCTTACTTACCAGATTCTTCTGGTTTATAGAAGCTGATTTCAAACACTCAGCAGTGAAAGATGTACCTCATGCCACTATGAATTCTGAAAATGGCACTTGTTTTGGTAGTACCTTTCAAACACAAATATTAAAATAAGTATTTTCAACTACCAGACTATAGCGTGTTTTTAAAAATACTTTAGCACTTTCCAGAATTGGCAATATCTCCTAGTCATCTCCTAATAGATACAAAAGTAGCCAGAAAATTTGTTTGAGAGTCCCATTATGACTCTGCTATGTTTTCTGCCACTGATTCACTACTGAATATTGTCTGTTTTGCACCCTAAGTCCAGTACAGCATTAGGGAAAACATTTTTTATTTGAAGAATGAGAGAAATAATAAAAATAATTTCCTAGGATTGCAAGTGTAAGCACCAGCTGTTTGCAAATGCTTAGTGTTTGGAGCAGAAAGGATCCCTGAAAGGAATAAGCAAACATTATTTTAAATAGCAAACCTTTATCAACTACCAAATTTATGGTAAGACACTTACTTACTGCATTGCCATATTGATTTTCTCTTACCTTACTATCTAAACCAAGAGTTTTAAATGAGGTAACTTCTGAAATTGAGCTGCAGCAAGCCTGTGGATTCCAGCTTACTGCATCTCTATTTTGTAATTAGCTCTATTTCTTCCATGAGCTGCCAAAGCAAATGAGGACCTGGGGATTTAGGGGATCAAGTCCTCATTTATCATAAGTCACAAAGAGAGAGATTAAAAGACAGCATGATAATATATTTTAAATATTTATCTCAAAGAGTATCTGACAGTCCCTTTGCATATGGTGTATAGTAGACATAGCAATATGTACTGACATTTTTCAGACTGTGTGACTTTCAAAGCGAATTTATATAAACTAAATGTATCTGAAACGGATACTTGTGTTAAAGTATACAATTAAACAAAATATTTCAAGTAAACGTTTCAAGGCTTTTTAGTGGATTTACAAGCATATGTTAAGTTCCTCACCCATAGGTGGGGCCAGATTCTCTATTTTGCTTCTGAAAAACCTGAAGTAGGAGCTACCATTTGCTGCATTTGCAGATCTGGCTGCAGAACTCAAAGAATTGGAAGTGCTTAGTACACCAATAGGATAATTGTTTCTATCCTAAACAGCTTCATCTATGGAGAATGCCTGTGAAAAACAACAAGAGCTCTAAACAAGAAACACTATTTACTGGTTCTTCACATACCCTGCTGGCTTTATCCTTTTTGGTTTTTGTAGAGAATCTTGGATTCTAGAGTGAACAATGAGGAAAAGGATTTAAGGAGATAAATCCTGTGGTTTTATAAAGTTGCTCAGTCTCCTACATTTAAAAATGTGTCATTAAGTCACTCTTTACCACAGTGGTGGTGTACTTCAGATTATTACTAATTAACTTTGATGTTCAATCTTTTACCCCTTTCAATTGTCCTTTTCTGCTTCATTTAACCAAGACTTTTTTCCATGTAGCCTAAATATAGCAATTACTTCTAATAAAGGAGGTGTCAGTGCTATTTTCAACTGTAGTGACCTGATGCATGACCTTGTAAGACTCACTGAACCAGCCTGTAAGTCTTCCCTTTGTCACCTTGATCTTATCTGAGGACTACAGATATTGTGTCTAACGTACAACACACAGCACTCCCTCTATTTGGCATCCACAAAGCTAACACAAAACAACCCTTAAAGTTCCTACATCAATAACCAAACCAAGCGCTCAATTTAATGCCAATTCCTTTATTTCCTATACTCACTACCACTATAACATCTGTTACATCTGTTACAAGTATTCATGATGTCGTACCTCAGCTCCTGGCAAACTTCTGCTTATGAATTCAGGATGCTCCATCCATGGTCTTACCTGCAGATTAGGAATCCTAATCCTGCAAAGTGTCTCTCCATTCAATTAACTGAAGGGTTATAGTTATACTCACTTTTAAAATCCAAGCAAGCATTCCTGAAAGGGGCTTTTGCCTCTTAGCAATAAGTTAAAATAAAGGTTATCTGTGTTTTTCTTGACACCACTCCATGCTTTCAATACTTTCCTTTTGAATCAGTGCATGAAACATACTAATGACTTCTGCAGAAACATTACTTTGAAAAGCAACAGTCACGGGCTTATTTTTTCACGGTAAAAGAAGTGGGAATGTAGGTTTTCCACTATTATGATCATCCCAAAAGCATAGTTCATAAAAAGAGAGTAAAGAATGTTAACCTGTTTATCTTGGCACAGTAAATGCAGAAAGGGAATAAAACTGTGTTACATAAATCTGCCAGGGACACCCAAAAGAAAAGAACTATTTAAATTGAGGGGTGACACAGTTTAACCCCAGCTGGTAGCTAAGCTAAGATGAGGAAAGAGAATTGGAAGGGTAAAAATGAGAAAACTTGTGGATTGAGATAAGAACAGTTTAGTAACTGAAATCAAATAATAATAAACCATAATAACAACAATGAGGAACGTCAGAAAGGGGGCAACATAAAACCCAAGGAAGAAAGTGATGCAAATGAAAACAATTGTTTACCACCAGTGAACCAATGACCAGCCAGGCCCTGAGCAGCAGCTGCATCAGGCATCAGTTTTACTACTAAGCATGACATCCTATGGTATAGAATAACCCTTTGGTCAGTTAGAGTCAGCTGTCCCAGCTGTGTCCCCTCCACACTTCTTGTGCACCCCCAGCCTACTTGCTGGTTTGGGTGATGTGAGGAGCAGAAAAGACCTTTTCTGACTCTGTGTGAGCACTGCTCAGCAGTAATGAAAACACCTCTGTGTTATCAACAATTTCCTGCACAGCCTCATACAAGCTATTAGGAAGAAAATTAACTTTATCCCAGCCAAAACCAGCACAGGGGGCAAAGCTGCCTGAGAACAAATGGTTTAAATTGGCCAAAGAGAGCTTAACTACTTGTGAGTAGGACCATGACCAGTTTAGGAAAAGTTTTGTTTTCTACAGACGCCTGCAGCAGCCAAAGATGGACTTGGTGGTGCAATCTTATATTTTCCCACATTAGGATGTATTTGTTCATTAATTTTTCAGAGTGGGGGCTATACCCTGGGAGCAAGTAGATAGTTCAGGCAAGGGGGCCAAGGTGGACTTTAGTTTTGAGCTTTTGGTCTAATCCATCTGAGCAGAAGTCATGGATGAGGTCCTTCAACAACTCACATGGTCAAGGATCCCTCATTCTCACATTAGCAGATAGAGACACAGAGGCAGTGTTCTATAACTGTTTGGCAGAAGTGCACAACATCAGGAGTTGCAGGGAAGGGGTGATCCAGGCTATCAAAGGGTGCAGAGCTAGCCAGTTCTGCTTTCCAGATTAAGCCATGGCACTCCTGTTCTCCCTGCCCATAGGCTTACCTTTATACAGCAAGATTAAACTGAACTAACAAACACGACCAGAGCTGTCAAACACAGAGGAGTGCAGTGCTTGCTACCTGCAATATAAATGCAAATCCTCTTTTCCTGGGACAGTCTCTCCACAAAAGCAGAAGATGGACACTTCTGTCTAGAGCACTGTCTGTGCTCTGAAGCATGACAGGCTGAGAATATTGGTGACAAACGATGCAAATGTGCAGAGTTTGGTATGTTCCCTCTGTTCACCCAGGCCCCAGCCCCATAACCACCTGTGATGCACGTTTGCCTATTCCCCTTGCTGCCTTCCCCAGCTAGCCAGCTTTTCCACTCTGAAAGGAAATCCAGGTACAGCTGGCAGGATGGTTTATTCCTAAGTCACTCTGAACAGGCATTATATGAATGCAAAAAATGTCTAGTTTTACTCCCTGCACTCTGGCCACACTACCCTGGAAGTGATCCACCTTACAGCCCCAAACAGTCTTGTGTCATACCCGTTCTGCAAAGGCACACGTCTTTGGGAGTATGCTACAAAATCCACAGACATCCTTATTTTAAGAACTTTAGGCTAAAAAAAAAAAAAAAAGAAAACAAACAAACAAACAAAAACAAAACAAACAAACAAACAAACAAAAATAAACACCAAAAAAAAACCCTCAACACTGGAAGTAATCATGATGTCTTTGGATCAGCAGGCACCATCTAGGGATCATGAGAACTGCTGTGCCTTGCAGAACCAATGACTTTGGTCCAGGGACTGTTAACCCTGAGCAATGGCTGAGGCACCACTTTCCCTGTGCAGGCCAGAAAGATAATCCACAGCTGGTGGGTGAGGCTGGCAGGGTGCCCTGGGTCAGCAACAGGGAAAGATGCTTTGGCAAAGATGCTCTTTTCACCCACCACAGGGAAAACAGGAGTTTAGCCACAGAATAGTGGCTAACTAATAAAAATAAGTAGCTTTCATTAACAGATCCCAACAATAGAAATACACTGTACTTCTCTTGCACTTCAGCAAATCTTTATACATTGCTGGAAGCATCTCATTCATTTTCATACCTAGACTGATGGAAGGTGTGTAAGTTTGTGAATGTATATCTTAACATCCCTGTTTTGTTGAAGATGCACGCAGCAGAACCACCAGATGACAGAACATATACAGCCTTCACAGGCTGGCCAGGCTAGGAAGGAATATTTGCACCTTCAAACTCTCCAAATATGAGGGTTGGTTTCAAACCAGATCCTCTGAAATGCTGGGGTTTGAACCCCGAGCCCCTGAATTAAGGTTGACATATGGGTGATTCCCACAGCCCTTCATCCAGAGGGGTGAGTTTGCCTTAGAGCTTCCCCCCAGGGTGCGGCCGGCCCTGCAGGGAGAGCCAGAAGGGAAATGAGCCCCAGGGGTCCCGCAGGGAGCTGACAAAGGTCAGGGGTCTGCTGGGGGATAAAAGCTGGGACCACTGGCAGGGAGTCAGGAGTGTCTGTCTGTGGAGTGCACTCCACAGAGCTTCCTGGTTCAGGGCAGACCTCCTGACTCTCCTGGAGCTGGGCCCGGATCTGTCTAGGCCTTTGCAAATGCAGGTCAATTGGGTGAGAGTTGCCATGTGGGCACCGTTTCTTACGTGTTTAACTGGCTGCTCTGGCTGTTTCCCATGCCAACTGTGGGCAACCTCGGGTCTCTGTTTGTACCCCCTGTTGTGGGCTGGGTCATGTCGTTTGTGGGATCATTGGGGGTGGCGTCGATCATGTCTGAGCTTGTTGACCTGTTTGTACCCCCGGCGGTCATTCATATAGTAACATTTCTGTCTACAATACAGTCTGTGTATTGGTTCATCTCCCTGCTGGTGTTATCATTTTTGTTGGGCCTGGTCATTGGCAAAACATCCTCCCTCAAGCCTGCTTACCCAGACACTGATAGCCCACCGTCTCCAACTCAGGTTCCTTGTTGCAAGAGTTTTTCACTGAGAGTATAATACCACAGTGCATTAAGTCTATGCCTAATGTGGTTTATCCTTTGTTTACAGGTCACTGCAATGTTTGAGGATTTAGGTTAGTGTAAACAAGTAAGAAGAAAATTATTATTGACAGTTAACAACAACAAATATGAACACAAGTCATCCTACACAGATCTACCTGCTGTAATTCACACATACTCTTCATTCATGTCTGACCAACTTTTATAAAGAAAAGAATCATTGAGAGAATGCAAAGCGATAAAGACTCCCTACCATGCAGGGGGTTTTCTGAACACCACACTGGATTTTGAAGGCTGCTGCGCTAATATCTTCAAATCGAATCAGCTTGTTACAGCTTGACAGGCTGGTCCTACTGCTTGACTGAGGGATGTGGGAAAGGGCATCCCTAAGTAACTCCTCATTACGGCTCACTATCTTCATTTCCCAGGTCTTCACGTCCCCATTCAGGTAATCCTCCTCACCAAAATCCTTCAGCCTCTCGGGGTTAATAGAGGGTGGCTTCTGCCCAATAAGGCCATTTCTTATCTGCCCATCCTTACAACAGTGAAGATCACAAAGTGCTGGGACATCTTGTTTCTTTATTTTATTGTCATCCCTAAAAACAAATAAAAGAAACTTGTTAGGAAAGCTTGGATGATTAAAGGCTTGACATTTAACATTTAGGAATGATGCACAACTCAGCTGCTCTTTGCACGCCCCAGACAGGCAGGCTGAATTATTGCTGTCATATTACCTATCTTGCGTGTGGATTGAAAGCTACAGTAACCAACTAGCTTTTAGAAAAGCTGGAGATAATGTAGCATGTGGGCAAACTGGGAAACTGTCATACCCAAGAAAATGAGAAAGATGTAATCTGTGCTATCTGAGCAGCCAGACCTTACTCAGTACTCATTTTCAACTGGCAATGATCCCATTTCAGTGCTTTGAGAAATTTTGGAATAACTGGAATTGCATTCACTGGATGCAACTCCATGTTTTTCAAAAAACGCAAGTAGTTGCTACAGAGCATTCCCCAATATCATTAATAGCAGCAACAACTGTCATTACTTGGTACATAAGAGGTCTGCTTCCCTGCTCTTGCATACTTGCAGAGCATACTTTTGACAGCTGTCACTGCCTCATGATGGGAAGGAAATTACTTTGGTAAGAGACAACAATTATATCCTACCACAGAACTAAAAAGAGCTATGTCTCCTGATCTGCGATTTAACACTTCATAGATCAAAAACCCTGTAGAGAAGACAACAGTATGATGCCACACAAACCTGGCATCATCAACTCTGGAAAGACACTGCTACAAAAATCTGTCAGTTGTCCCACCTTCAATTGCCTTATTCTGTGGCTCACAGTGTTCAGGAGTTCACAAGGGATAATATATGGAAGCAGAGGGTTTTGCAGCCCTGCTAACAAATAACTGCAAAACTTCTAAGAACTATTGGAATTTGGAGACTAATGTGGAGTAAAAGGAGCATTAAGCAGGAGACCAGTGATTTGGAAAAGAGCCGATACCATCCCTGGTCTGTGGCTATGATTACACAGCTGATATAAGCCCCTTTACATGGAGGACTCGATATCAACCTATTTGGGAGAAAGAGCTTCCTAAAAAAATACATGTGTTAAATTATGTCAGAGATTTAATCACCATCTCCAACAAAAAATATTTACTATTTTCACAAAATAATCTGGATTTAAGTTGTGCATTATTCATCAGCAAGGCTTGCTAAAGCAAATGTTGCCTTAGTTTTACAGCACTGATCAGCACTGTAATATGCATTGCAATAATTTCCAAAAAGAATTTAAAAATATTTAGAAACAGCTGCTTTTTAAGCAATTGCCTCACTTTTGGCAGTGTCATCCATTTTCTTTGCCAGTAGCTCTGATTCCTGTTACACTGCCAACTGAGGACTTTGCATAACAATATGAGAAACGTAAAAGGTTTTGTTATTTGAATTAAGTAATATACCAGAAGCATCAATTATTCTGTATATCCTCACAGGAGACAAGAAAGGACAGTTTTTTGTAGCAAGATCTTCTCTCTCCAGAATTAATGAGATCAGCACTATTTTTCTAAAACAAATAACTTACGTATTGGTAACTAGTTTACGTTGAAATTTGTAATTTAAAATATTTTGCCAATACTGTATCTTAAAGCTGATACTCCCAAATAGCAGGCATTCTGGCTTCAAATTAAATAGCTTTCATACTTTTATGCATTTTGTCTCTGGGGTTAGAGGGTTGGAACACCGCATAAAGATGTTAAGCTTCCAGTGTTAGTTCTCATGCATATTAGTTAGCATAATGTAAAGATAAGAATCAGATCAGACCATCTCCCTGTGAACTTGCTACAGCACAGCCCCTTGCAGAAACAACTATCATCATCTAAAAGGCCACATCACTGTTAAGAGTTCATTCCTTCTTTCACCCACATCCCTCCAGCCGCCAACATGGGAAAAAAAAAAAATCAGTATCAAAGATCAAAAATTTGTAATTTTTTAATTTTTTTTTTTTTACTGACTGGCATTTGAGATAGGAGATTACACTTTTTCCTTGCATCTGTTGCAATCAACTACAAAAAGTCCATAAGGAATAAAACAACCAAAGATGACCACAAAAAGGCTATTGATGAACTAAGATCCTACTAGCAAGCACAAACCACAAAGGAATGCTTCACCACACCAGTGCCATCAAACATTTTTGTCAGCAAATAGAAAGATACTGATTTTTTGCCTTAGTTTTGGCAGAACAAAGCAGGGAAGCAAGCAGATTCTCAGTCCTTGATCTGCAGCACTGCTGCAGTGAATATCTGCTCAGGACCCTGATAGAGACAACAGCTTATGATCACTGGGAAAAAAAAAAAAGCCAAACTGTAAAATACGTGTAGGCTTTTCAAGCTTCAGATAGGTTTAAAGCAGATCCAAAACATTACCATCTCAACATTTAAACAACCATCCATTCGCATCTGAAAGGTCAGCAGCCTCACTACCAAAAGGAAAACATTGTGGTTTTGTATATGTATGTATTGTATATTACTACTTCAGATGCATTTTTGTTCTCCTATATATTTTTTTTTCGTTTACATTAGCAAATGACATTTGTCCCCATTGAACCTGCCTGGGTGTGTGCCACAGACCCACTGAGAGCTCACAAACACCCGAGTTGATCAGCGTGTTGAGGTTTAATAATCCATCACAAACAGGCAACTAATAACCCTGTTTGGTCAGATGTATTTCTGTCCTCAAACACAGTTTGTGTGCTTGATACAGGTCACCTCATTATGAATTTCTTTTGCAGGAACAGTCAAAGCAGGCAGCAAAACATGCAAGTGCCCACAAAAAGAAAGCACGTGACTTCTCATGCAGAGTAATGAAGCATGGCCCCTGTTCTAGTGATCATGCCCACCAGATGAAAATCTGAGCCAGTATAAACCCCAGCATTATAAAACATTGCTCCTTTCAAAGGAATTGCGTTTCCTTTTTTGGAGTTTGTCTCAGAAAGTTTTGATGAAAAAGTCTATTTCCATCCATAAAACAAATACCCAGCTGGCAAGTTTTGTTACATGTTTATGAATGACATTTTACCTTTAGAGTGATTAGTATAAGCAAACATGAAAATACAATTTATAAACCTACTTCTTCGAGAACAGCTGCTCAGCATAACTGCAAAAAATAAAAGAGAAGATCCATATGTAGAAATCCCATGAATAATTAAGGAACTAGAAAAAATATCATTTAAGCAGATGATAGTTTTACATAGTTCAAAGTCTTAAAAGCCAATGTGAAGAGAGTAAGTGCTGAAATGTACTCTTTGAATGATAAAAAGCAACAACTCAGAACAAATAATTTTTCTTTTTCCAGTTTGGGTTTTTGTATATTCAGAAATTTTCATCAAGTTAAAAAGCACTGGGTAAAACAAGTTTGGAAGATCTGTATTATTAATATAATAAGAAATTAATAAAACCAATGCAAATAATTTGGGAAAGATAAAATGGAGCAGTAGCACATTCTATACCCGAAGATCACTACTGTTGCCTCTGCTACAGGGAGAAAGAAATGTCCGTGCAGTTATCCTGCAATGATGGGACAATTACATGACCATGTCAGATAAAGCACATATAGATTGGCTTCCTCAGGATCCACATGGCAACAGACTAAACAGATTAAACTGATATACTGGGTTCTCTTCATCTTCTAAAGCTGAAGGCGCCAAGAATCTACGAAGTTAGCCACTGATTCTCCCAGTATAAATGTCAGGGGTATATCATATGAAAGTATTGGGTAGAAAATGTAAACATTCCCTTATTACAAAAATCACTTGCAGAACTCACTGCCAAAGGATGCTATGACAGACAATGATATAAGGGGTTCCTAAAGAAAATATGCAACTATATGGAGGTAGGTCTACTAGTGACAAAAAAATACATTGTCCAGGAAGTAATCTGTGATTCAGCAAGCCCCTAAGCACTTAATTGGCAGACTCCATGATAGCATATGAGAGAAAGCATCTTACATAACTTTTATTTTTCACCAAGCTCCTGTTACTGGCCACCACTAGAGAGGCGAGCGGCAGTAGACAGCTCTTTGGTCTCACACAGTGCTGCCACTTTGACTTGCAAACCTACTTCATGTCAGCTTTTGCTGACAGCTTTTCCACCTCTGACAAAACGAGTCATAATAATGCATTTTGATGCAGAAATGAAGCTGGAATTATGTGTGTTCCACTATTACTGTGCTGCTTCACAGAAATTCAAGTGCCACAAAAGGAAACAAAGACTTTTCAGTATACAACTGAAACCTTCACATTTCTTTGTTGTTTCCACAGCAGTTTTTGTCATCTGTATTCACACTGGTGCACACTCACAAGAAAGAAGGACCAACAGTATGTACTATATTTTAGCATCCTTAGAGGTCTATACCATGACAAGAATTTCAAACTCCAATGCCTAACTTGGACTGATCAGTGGCAGAGTGCAAACTGGCTAGCATTAAGCTTGAACACCACCTCAAACCATTCCAATGAATTGAGGCTAGCCTGTAGTTATTTAGTCAAAACACATCCATATATATGCACATGTACTCTATACGTGGATTTTAAGATTTCATTATTTTAAATTTGTCTCCATTCAACCTGTATCTGGGGCCAAACTACAGCAGTTCTTTATTAGTAGATGACCCCTCGCCAGCCAGGAAGGAGAACTGGGAAGGGAGGAAACCCATGTGTAGAAATTAAATCAGATTTAATGAAACAGCAAAACTAATATTAATACTAATGTCAGTACAAAGTATACAAAGTTATACTCAGCCCAGTGAAAGTACAGTAGTCACAATAACTGCGAAAGCAGTCCTTGGGAGCAGAATGATAAACAGGACCCTCCAGGGATGGTGAGAAGGAAGAGGAGCAGGAAGAGCCCCCCCATCCCCAGCAAAGTTCCTTTACAGTGAGCATGAGGTTTATGATCTGGGATACACCTGTATCAGCTCAGCTGCTCAGCTGACTCCAAACTGCTGATAGCCTGCAGACCATGGGTGGCCTGTTACTCTATCCCAGCAAAACCAGGAAAATACTTTGGGGATAGGCATTTCTTAAGCTCATGTCTATATGCTGCCATCATTTTCAGGCTCATTGAATACCTTCCTGGAGCACAACAAACAACAGACACACATTAGTAAAGTCTTAGACATATTTGTCATCTGCTTTCTGGATAAATGGGCTTAGTTTTTATGCCTGCAAGTTGAGAATACTTATTACAGTAAAAAGTGACCCCTTTAAAGTCTCTTTACCTCATGGTCATGTACTGGGAGGGGTGAGGTTGAGGGAAGCAGCCTATGTAGGTAGCTGGGTTCATGACTGAGGTGCGACTAGTGCTGGGATCTCCTCTCAAAGGACTGAGAAAGAGGTGATCCAAGGATATGACAGAGGACCCTTTCCCTCATCCAAATCCCTCTTTTACCCAGAACTTCCCTAGCTCCTTTAATCCTTCTTATTTCCTGTCCCTAGCCCCATCTCCCCTGATGGCTCCAGATGTCTGAGTTCATACTCCTCTGACACCTTCCCTGTTTGTTGCAGTCCCCTTTCCCAACAGCTCCTAAACACTCCTGTTCCACCCTAACTCTGTTTGGCAGTGTAAATCCCTGTGAGGTCCCCTGCTTTTACAAAAATTCCACCCAATCCTGTTATTTTATTTTTCCTCTCCCCAAACACATCCAAATGCTGCAATAGCAGCAGTTCTTAAAAGCATCTCAGCAGCTTGTACAAGAAGGTCTTTATGAAAGAGAAATGATAGAAAAATTGAGGCTTGCTGAGTTACAAATGGCAAGAAGCTTCATAACAGATGTCACCTTCACTGCTAGTAATTCCAGGTTAGCACACCATACAGTGTCTGCATGTCCTCCACAGGACTACAGGGTGACAAACAAACTCCCCAAGGCATAGGGAGGGAACAAGCTAGATCTCTCTTTGGCAATACAGTTAAAACTGATAAAAGACAATACTGCACTCAAACATTACTTTCTTTAATTAACATTATTTTGTACAACACTGGAAACACCTGTTTGAGAGCGTGTCACTCCCAGCTAGTGACAATTACAGGACAGAACTTTAAAATGCATCTCTGGCACTTAAATACCCAAACTCTATGCAGAGTGATTGTTGCAAATCACATAGGAAACTAACATCTTCTCCCAAGCAGAAATTCAGTAAATATTATCTCAGCTTTATTGGTAGAAACTGGGGCACAGACAGATCGAGTGGCTTGCCTAAGATTTCTGCAGGAAGTTTGTAGCAGGACTACTTATCAGAATGTCTTAAAAGGCGAAGAGATCAGGGGTTAGCTACTAGTCTGTGTGACACAATTGTTAGGGGATGTATGCGTTGTGACTGTCCAGCATAGACAGGTGTACAATAACCAAGCCTTGAGACTGAGCAGGCATTTATAACTCTACTCACCATCTACAGGCCTGACAAAACTGTGTGATGTACACCAACAACAAATGCAAAGAAAGCTCAGGCTCATGCAAAGAATAATCACACTGCATTATCACTTCTGATAAAATATCTCCTTACTTTCAGTAAGTCAGATTTACCAAAGCCTGAGCTATATCTGCCTTCATCTGTGGTCATAATCCGTTGCCAGTCTTCTGTACATACACATCATGGAAATGTCATTGCTTACTGCTGGCAATGGCAACTGGGTGTCAGCTGCTAAATAGATAACATGAGAAAAAGTAATCTGAAAGCAACAACAACTCAGAAGGTCACCCCTCTTGGTTACCTCTCCTTCAACACCTTCCAAGTGTCCCTCAAACACACCCATCTCTCTAGGTAATTTTTACAGGACATTCACAGAATGCGAAACGATTGCTAGCAAACACTGCATACAGTCTGGCAGTAAAAACTCTTCAAGTAATTAAACTTGTTTCCTCTAAGTTAAATGTATTCTGAGTTTAGAGGGTTTCTGGGGATTAACACATCTCCATACTTCAATTATAATAAAGAACAAACAGCATAACCCAAACTAGAGTAAAACGTGGTCCTGTGATGAAAGTACTGGCTTAAGATTCTCAGTTCGTTGCAGAATATATCTCATTATGTGTGTCTTTGGGCAAGCCATTTTTTCAATGTAAAACTGGGATCTTGTCTTCCACTTTGGTGTTCCAAGAAGGTTTATTTACAGTAGTTAGCCTGCTGAAACAATTTATGTTTTAAATATTACTAACATCTGCCACTATTGTCATGATGAAGGAATGAGAATTGCCCCTTGTTTATACCGCACCTGGCAACACCAGGTTTTCATCTTGCTAGTGGTGTCCCAACAATAAAATTGGGGGAGAAAACAACTGTGGAAAAGGTTATGAGTATGGCTGTGGAAACACAACCATGCCATATGAATGCACAACCCCCAGCTGGTGCTATAGAACAGCACTGGATGTCTCCTTAATTCTGTCTGCACCATCCAAGCCTGAAAACAGGAATTCAGGAAGACCGTAAGCACCACAACAAACACAGCCACAGAACATCTGTAATAACAGGACCTGATGCAAGCTATCCCAAGATAAATTTTCAGCAGTCCATCAGTCTGTCTAGGGTTATTTCTAATACATGAAGGAAGAAATAAAAAACAGATGAACTCCATGGACTTATCTCCGCTGCTTCTACTGAATAATTCCAAGAGCAACTTGTACACACAGAACCCTGGGAGTTATTAAAAAAATACAGTTTCCTTCTTTTTTTTTTTTTTTTTTTTCTTTAGAAAGTAAGGAAAGGAAAAAGAAAGCATTACCTATATAGCACAGTGACTAAATAAACAATGAAGTGAAGCAAAACTCCAACTACGACATCGTAAGGAGGCAGGAGGGGTCCAGGGGTTGTCATGTCCGTGGGCCTGGCCCTGGGCAGACCCCGAGGGCTGACCATGACCCCTGAGGGGGAAGAAAGGAGAGCTCTAGCTCTAAGTCAGACAGCAATATTCTCCAACCTTTGCCAGAAAGGATCGTAATCTTCGTCTTCCCTGGAGCGGTCTCTGGGACTTCTGTTTTTTAACACCTTGGAGTAGAGAAACTGTGCTGCAAAATTCATAGTAATTCCTGGGGAAAAGTAAAGCTGGGAGACTGTGGGCAGGGGACACACTTGCCTGTGAGAAGTGCCAGCCCTGCAATGCCTGGGTGGGAAATAGTGGGCAATGTACTGTAAGCAGCTCTCCAGCGCTGGCTGGGGGAGGGAAGAACTGCCTTTGAGAGAGATGTCTGCTGCTATTTAAAGAGATTATTTCAGAGGCCAACCTGTCCTTGTCAATTTGAGTCAGGGCCTGGATTATACTTCGGTGACACTCTGTGAGCAGGACACTTGAAGCTTTAGTTAGTTACTGCTTAGCTGTGGAGCATGATCCAGAGCTGCTGCAGGGCCTGCGACTTAACAGCGTGCACTTGGGTAGGCAGGGGCGGCAAGAAAGGGGCGTCGGTGTTTGTGGGGGCTGAGTCACCTGCAGGGATCCTTTAGGGCAGCACCAAGGAAAACAGGGGTTTGTGACTGAGGCACAGAGGACAACCGATTACTTTGGGTCCTTGTAGAAGAAAAACAGAGATATTCAGATCATGCAGATAGAAAATATCATCTAGGGAAAAGAATGCAGCAGAAGGTGTTAAAAAGACCCCATCTAAATCCGTTCTTTACTTCCCTGAGAGAGTGTTAGCAAAGGCAGTGCCACATTTCCACATGTAGGATGGCTGTGCTGTGGGGATGGGAGTAGGGTGTCCTTCTGTAGTTCCTCTTCTCTGAAATACAGCCCTGATGGAGTGCAGGCTCTGTGCTGTTCAGGGACTCACCAGGTGTCCTTTTCCTGCTATCGGTGGTCACTCAGTACCCTCTGCCTTCTGCTGATAGCATAAAAAATCTTAACATTCAAGACAGAGAGCAGGCACACTGTAAAATCTAACCCAAGTTGTGACCTAACCCTCCCCACAGAGTACTGTGAGAAATATTATAATCTGATCTGTATGGGAGAGTCAGAATAAACTCTGAGAAAACAAAACCAAATAGTTTTCTGGGGTCTCTAGGAAACTCTGAGCTGTATTGGTGGAGACTTCCCTATGCTAATGTGGCAGACAGGTCCTCTGACTTCAACAGTACAGATGAAGCTCCAGATTCACCATTTTTTACTGTCTGTTCCAACCAAAACCCTTTTATCCTTCCCTTTCCAAGCAGCAGAAGGGCAGGTTGTGGAGGTGACGTGCTACACATGGCTACAACCCATCAGGAGACTGCTGCCAGAAGGGAAGAGACAAAAAATCAATTGACTGCTGCCAGCACCTACAGTTTTAAGTCAGAGTGAACTTCAACTTCACCAGTGCCTTGAAGTACAGGGAGAAGGCAGGTAAAGTTATTACTTTACTCATAACATGTCTAAGATGCAATGGTGGGCAAGAAAAGGAGCTGAAAAGTAGTGAATATCTCAGTGCCTAGCTTGTGGGTGTCTGGGATTCCAGACCAATGAGATTCCAGATCAATGTGCATGTGTCTTGACATAAATTCATCTCCTTACAAAATGAGGCCCTGATCTGTGATCAGCACTTGTAGATCACGCAAAACCAGTAAGAGGATTTTTGGTACCATTGGCCAAGGCGTTTGGAAACAAATTCACCAAGCTGTTTCAGGACAGAAGTACGTGAAGCTATTAATTGCTGTCCTTCTAAAAGAATCCCAAACAAGCAGCCCACAGGGGTAAAATTATATCTGGAAATATCCATCTTCATCTGGAAGTTAATCTGGTCTCCTACTTCTTCATAATATCCATCCCCAGAAAATTCCTACTTATTTCACTTTATTAATGCAATTATTAGCAAGAGTTGGCATATCTGCTGCTGCTGCCCAAGAATCAGAACTCTCCCAGAGAAAGCAATACCCCTGGAAAAGACATTTTTTAGGAGCAGTCTTACATCAAAATACTTATGGTGGGGGTGACCTTAAGTTCATATTTTTTTGCTTTTTGACTCCGGGTTTAACACACTTACAAAAACAATATGCTAGATCTTACAACTCCTTCAGATTTCATTGCCTTTTCAGATATTTTTTTCCAAGCAGAGCACTCTTAGAGTTTTAGAGGAGCTTCATTACTGATAAGGTAGATGCAAACAGCAAAAGTCACAGCAGCAGCAAGGTGTGACACTGTCCTTCCCACTGCCACCAAGAGCATCTCTTCAGGTGCAGGGAGGGAATCCAACTCGTCACCTACTGTATCATCTATTTACTTTACACCAAAAAGCACACTCATCATGGTAGAGCAGTTACACATTTGAACTAGCTGGCTATAAAGGCTACACCCTGCTAGTGGTTTCCCTGAATACCATCTTCTGTCAAATACTTTTTCAGAGGGCATGCCTCTGAATCTACTGTCTGCAAGAGGCTGCTGTCTGCTGCACTTGAAATTCCCAGGCTGCCCCATTTCTTTCCAGTTTTACAATTAATCAGCAAAAATCTCCTCTAGCACATCACTTTCTAGTAACTGATCCTGCAAACCTTTCACATATAACATCACTCTTGAGTCTTAGCTTGAACAGGGTCAACCCAAACACTACCAGCAGACCAAAATATGGAAAATTAAGAAGTTATTGAAGTATTCAGGGATCAGTCCACCCAGTGCTTGAAAATTTAAAGATGTGGACCTGAAGAATTAACATGTGAACGACAAAGTAGATGTCCTGGGATAGGATGGCACTGATCTGAGCTATTGCTTGTCTGGAGACCCATTATCTAACTTCCAGAGAAGCCAAACTCTTGAAATAACCATTTTCCTCTTTCTCTAAACCCATGACCTGGAATAATTTAATATAGCCACTTCCAAATCTGCTCACAGTACTTCAAAAAATACCACAACTACTGCAGGAATGAAAAATTACCTTTCATCTTTGCCTTTTTCCTTTATATGGTGTGGGGGTAAGATCACACAGGGAGGTTTTGATTGGAGAATTTCTTCACTGAGAGTGCAGTTAGGAACTGAAGCAGACTGCCCAGGGAGGTGATGGAGTCGTCATCCCTGGAAGTGTTCAAAACAAGTAGATGTGGCACTTGAGGCTGTGGTCTAGTGGTTAGAGAAGTGTTGGGAGGAAGGTTGGACTTGATGATCCCAGAGGTCCTTCCCAGCTATAGTGATGCTATGATCAAGGATTAGGACTGAAAAACAGTGGAAAATCCAAGTCTCAGAATAACAGTTCTACACTCATCAGGTTGTATTCTGACCACCTGCCTTCTTCCCTCAAGTCTCTGGCATGAGAACATTTGAAGAAAAGTTGGCATGATGTAGAAAGTAACAGCTGTTTCTTTTCCTAAAAAAAAAGCTTTTTAAACAATGTTGTGCTGCTTTTTCCCCATTCTGAATAATAAAATGGGACCCATTTGCTGTGAAAATGGAAAACAGTGCTTCATTCTTTTGTAACCAGAGGAGACTCAGTTTGGACTGTGCTGGGAGAAATAGCTATTACCATTGTAAATAAAGTCCATTGAATTACAGGACTTGAAAGCTGGTTTTGAAGGATTAGCCAAGTTTTTCCCCAAACCAAATAAAATTAATAATGTTTCCAATCTTGGTGAGAACAGCATGGGTGGGAAGCAATACTCTGTCCAAAGTGGAGAATTCTTTGCAGAATTTGATCAGCTGCAGAAGGAAAGGGTGGAGACAGTCTGCAGTGAAGCCAAGAAAAACAACAAAAGTTGTTCAGAGAGTAGCAACACAGAAAAGCAAAATGATAATTTAGAATTATGCCATGTATCAATGCAAATGTGGTGGTAAACCACTATAATAATCAGTATGGATAAATAAGTACAGACAATTCAGAAAGACTCACCGATTAAAAAAAAAATATAAAGGAGGAGACATCAAAAAGCTTCAAATTTCCTTCTAATTTAGCATACTAATTTCAATTCCATCTCAGTTTCTGTATAAATCAATATTTGTATAGCAGCTGGCCCATGGTGGTGAAATGTTATATTACTGTTTGTCACCTTCAGGAAGCTGAGAAGAGACTGATAAGGTAGATTGAAATCAGTGGAAACAGACCTGGCTTCCTCAAGCCATGCTCTGTAGTGGCTGGGCGGACGGGCATCAACTCATCGATCCACAGAAGGCAGCTGCAGGCTGGAGGGAAGCTGGAGCGTGCTGCTTCCTGTGCAGTTGCTGTGTGACAGACTCTATCTGCCTAGCAGGTAAACGCTTTGCAGAAAGGATGACATATTTCTCAAGCCAAAGGGCAAAATTAGAGGTCCAAAAATTATCTCCCCGATATAGTATTTATGTCCATTAGGTGTAAGATGCTGAACAGTTGAGCTAAAAGTGAGAACTCCAGCATAAAGCTTGTGCTTTACCATTACATAAAAACACGCGCATTCCCTGATCTTGAGACTGAATAACTGATAAGCAAAACATTTTGCATTGCTGCTTGGGGCATTCAGCTCGGTTTGACTAGATGAGCTTTAAAAGGTCCCTTCCAACCCAAACTATTCTATAATTCCATATCCCATTTATCTCAAGTTCAGGTTGTAGGATAATATTTTTAATACGTGCAGAAGCGGTCTATTAGCATTGCAGACGCATGAAAGTCTAATAATCTATTCCAATAACCTCACAAAATTACATTAATTACCAAAGACTGTATCTAGATATCTTTGGGTAACATGAGCTACCTTATACTATATCCCTAATCCCATGCTTTTTGACCTTCTGGATCTAAAGCATTGGTCACATGGCTGTGTTCACATTAAAGGAAAGGTACATTGGCTGAAACCCTTAAAGTAAATCCCTGAAAAGACGTATTAGTTTGTCTGCACAAAGCACAGCAGCTGTGACTGACAGATTCAACTTGCACTATTTCAGACAGCATCAAAACATCACAGCGGCAATAATTTCAAACTCCTATTATAATCACGACTTTTATTTTCACTAACAAAACCCACCAAAAATTTGGACAAGAAGTGCATGTGAGTTGAAACAGACAGCTTTTCACAGACTTACTCAAAGCGGGTCTGATTTGCCAGTCTATAAACAATGCTTTCAGAGGCTCAAAAAGCCTGTGAAGATGTTTGAGACATCACTGCTGAGATATACAGCAGCAGGGAAGAGCAGATGAAAGTTTCTGCTGAAA